GGAGGAGCAGCAGAGACGATTGTGAAAAAAACGCGGGACTATTTTGAAAATTTTAGAGGAAACATTGTCAACCAAAACAAGTAGTTTACCGGCTACTTTGAGCGCGGCGGGCTAAGGGTCAACTCATTTTCCTTATTCAATCCAAACTATAAAACCTTTAACCCAATCTCAACTCAACCCGAACAACTAAAACACCCATGAATAAGTTTTTAACTTTGGATGGGCTCAAATTATGCAATTCGGGTTGAAATTAGATTATTCATTTCTCAAAATCAAATTTAACCAAAAGTAGAGTTCAATTTTGGGGTTACATTTTTTATTAATCATTATTACTTAGGAACAAAAAAGAACAAATTTCACATCTATAATAGAATTCAAACATCAATAACAATGATTGAAGGATGCGATAAAGATGTTTTAACATCTTTTATATATGTGTGTGATGGGCCTGGCTCAAACCAGGAGCAGATCACAGATACAGACTAGACTTATATCACAAATGCAAACCAATAAAAATTTAGTCACAATTTCAGTTGACTAAACATATCGTCTTCAAAAACCTAGTCTATTACTAATGCACGTGAGGGATCCCCAACTTAGGAAGGGAATCTGTGGAACGCAGTAATCAGGGTGCACATTGCCAGCTTCACGAAATCAACTCGCCTGATACAAGAATGTCGTCTGCTTCACGGAATCACTCTGCTCCCCGTTATGAGAATGACATCTCGATCAGGGGCTCCCTCGAAGCAGTTATGAAATTTTACTTACTTATAAATTGTAAGTCTCACCTATACATAGGGGGCATCATTCATCTTTCAACATTTTATACACCTTAAGTAATAAAACTCTCCGGTCACCGTAGTCATCCCCTGTAAAGTAGGTCAATCAGACCGAACCACTTAATCTGTGTGTTTAACTATGTTGAGTATACCCCGTCACATACTCCATTACATACTTGATTGATTTTGCATACATACTTTTGTGCATCATCAGTTTGGCGTCGTCTATGGAATAATTTTCACCCTATCGTATTCTCACTTCTTATGGCTACTACAACTAGATTCATGAATCAACAAAGAGAATATGATGATCAACCACGTCGCGATGAGGTCTTGCCCTCACCGGCAAACCCCATCGCTGAACCATAATTACTGGAGACTATGCAGTTATTGGTAAATTAAAACCAACAATTCCTCCAATTAATACTTGTTAGGCACCCTCGAGGAGTCGTGCCCCCAACAGCCCCCAAGCGTCTCGCCCGGTGCACCAAGGCGCCCCACCTCAACGCCACGACGCCCTAGCTCTTTCTCCCCACGCGCCTGCTCCATCCTCCCATGTTGGCGACCCTTCGTTTTAAGAAGAAGAAAGGGAAAACCAACATGTGGACCATAAAAAGCCACTATAACAACCCTTCTGAGAGCATCCTCAATCGCTAGGACAAAAAATCAAAGAAGTGCAGAACTAATTAGATGACTTTTTAACGCCATGAAGACGAGAGGGTTTGGAAATGGTCGATTACCTTGTGAGGTGTATTGGCACATCATTCGCAGCTGATGTGGCCAACTACCCTCTCCCCCAAAGTTTAAAATACCAATGTGAAAGTATTTGACTGCTCAAAAGTCCCGTTGGGCCACCTTGACATCTATAAAATCCCTCATGTAGGTGCATAACATACTAGACGAAATTATGTGCAAGATTTTTTCTACCACCCTTAAGGGATTTATGTGCCAGTAGTTCACCAGAGTCAAACCAATTTTCATTGAATCTTTTGCTGAACTAAATAAATTCTCAGTCTCCCACTTTATAGAGGGACGCTAACACTAGAAGTATGCTACCCACCTACTCAGCATCAAGTAAGACCGAGATTAAAACTTAAGGAGTTACCTCAGTCGTTTTAATGAAAAGGTTATCTTGATTAAAGAGGCAGATAAAAAAGTCACCATGATTGCCCTCATAGGAGGCTCGGGCTCATCCAGGTTTTTGTTTTAAGTTTTGAAGTTTCTTGCCAAAGAGCATGCTAGAATTACTATTAAAAGCCCAAAAATACATGAATGCTGAGAACGTCACCAAAGCCGGGCGAGGTAAGTCCTCACGTGGAGAGGGGAAGAGAAAAGAGCCCCCATGAATAAAGCTTTGTAGATTCATCACAAAAACAATTCTAATTTTTATTTCACAAATAGTTTGGGAACAAATGTCATTCCTACAAAAGTTAAAGCACAGTCGGACACTACCTAAAAAAAAGGGCAAAATCTATTAAACATCCTTAGCACTTTAGCTACCTTTGTTGTCGTCGCCCTCCTCGCTGCTACCTAACCAACTCTCATCAGAATCCTCGCCATCATCATCACCACCTGTGCCCCGACTCCTCACATGTGGACAAATCCCGAGAAGTCTGTGCTAGGAAAAGTTGTTGAAGCATTCCCTCTGAACTCCTCATAGCTATCAATAAAAGCACCCACGACACTATCTCGCAAGACATGGACAGTATTCTTTGTAGCCTCTCTCCTCCTCTCTATCTACTAGAAGTGAGCCTCTACTCTAATAGCCTTCTCATGAGCTACTTGGTACTTTGCCTTTACTCTCGCACAGACAGACTCATTCTCAATCTCCAGCTTAACAGTTCTCTCACAAATCGCCAAAAGTTCAACCTACTATGCCTCTACTCTCGTGCAAACAGCCTTAGTCTCAGCCTCCAGCTTAGTGGCTCTCTTATGAGTCTCCAAAAGCTCGGCATACTGTGCCTCTGTTCTCGCATAACTAGCCTTAGTTTCAACCTCTAGCTTAGTAGTTCTCTCGCGAGTCACCAAAAGCTTAGCCTACCCTACCTCTATTCTTGTGCAAACACCTCAGTCCAAGGCTCCAACTTAGCGGCTCTCTTGTGAGTCATCAAAAGTTTGACTTACCTCCCTCAATTCTCATCCAAGCAACCTCAATCTTAGCCTCTCTCTCGCCAGACGCCAAAAGCTTGGTCTACTCTACCTGTTCAAGAGGTATAACTCTCTCGCTAGCCACCCTCAACTTCTCCTTTACATCTTGTTATGTCTGTCTCTCCCTTATCAGAGCCCTCGATATCTACTCATGCTGGTTGGCCCTCACTAAAACTGAATGAAAATAAGAAAAGCGAGATTTGTACCCATTGCCACAGTACATGAAATGCCAATAACACTCTCCAACCATTAATGGTCAATCGTCATGGTATGAGTGACAAGTGTGCAAAGACACAACACACAGGGATAGGAATTAAAAATCTCAAATCTACCTCTAGCAACTATTCATAGAAGGAAATTTCCTCAAAAGAGTCATCAAATGTCGGCTCACCCATCTCAGCCTGATGACACAACACAGTAATAAGGGGAATACAAAAACTGGAGACAATCCTAGCAATCTCAACATCAAAATTGATGGTACTAGAAATAGTGCTCACCTTGGAACTATCGTCCTCAACAACGACTTTGCCACGATTCTTGAGTAACATTGTTTTTGCCACAATCACCAGTGCGCAACTCTATCTGCGCCTCGCGTGCCTGGTGCCCACGTGCCTCCTACCATCAATGCTCTCTATTCCTCGCCTCCCGTGCCACACACTCCTCTCTCACCCACACTCGACATCGCATTTTTCTCTTTTTCGCCTAGGTATTTGGGGATCCTATTTAAAGCCCCAAGAACCTGCTACTAAAAAGGTATGTATGGCCCTATTTAAAGCCCTAGGTATCTGCTGCTAAAAGGGTATGGGGGCTCCTATTTAAAGCCTTGAGTATCTACTACTGCTAAAGGAGAATGAAGCCAAGCTAACAAGGATTATACTCTACCAGCAGAATACCCACCAATCTAGTTGAGTGGAAGGAACTAAAATAAAAATAACCTCGACGTGGAGTGAAAGCGTGCGTGGCAAAAGGAGGCATGGAGAACGAGAATGATTGAAAGTCACCACAGTCAATACCTAGAAGGAAGGGTAAAAAGGTAGAAAATAAAATTTATTATTACTAATGTCCTCTCCCCCAAATCCCATTGGACTCCGGGTATGGGGGCAAATGATGGTGATAGGATTATAAACTAAAAACTTATTTTTTTTGCAATGAAACATGTTTTATTAATTAATAGAAATTTTACTACAACAAAAATCTTTTTTTGCGACGAATTAAAATTCGTCGCAAACAGTGTACTATCTGCGACGATTTTATAATTTAGTTGCAAATTTCTTTTTTGGCAATTTTTTTGCGAAATTTTTTCAAGTGCATCACGAAAAGGTGATTCTCTCCCGATTTTTGTTGGCGCGAGAAATGGCGAGAATTGATAATTTTTTAAGACACAAATTTTTGTAGCAGATAGTTTTAACTCGTCGTAAAAATAAATAATCTAAAATTAAAATTAAAATAAAGTCAAAATATTTAATTCACGACATTTAAGTTTTTCATCGTACAATATAAATTTTAGTCGTTAAAGTAAAAATAAAATAAAAATATTAAGTCACGGCGATTTTTATAAGTTTGTCAAGAATATTTATTTTAATAATATTTTTTAGCGACGTTTTTCTAAGTTCATCGCAAAATATAAATTTAATTTTTGTATTAAATAAAAATATTATTTTGCAAAATTTTTATATTCATCATAGAATTTAAATTTTGTAATTTTAAATCAAAATTAAAATATTAATTCCGACGTTTTATTTTTTGTTGCAGAATATATTTTTTCAACCAAAACGACATCGTTTTTTGGCCCTATAAAAAAATTATTTTTATCTAAAACGATGTCGTTTTGAGTATTTAAAAAATTCAGACCCATTTGTTGATTTGGCCCTAGCTAGCAACTCCTTCTTCTTCACCACTCCCATTTCCCAAATTCACTTCTCACTGCCCCTCTCTCTCTCTACACCTCCTCGCCATCTCCATCTCCATCTCTCTCTCTCTCTCTCTCTCTCTCTCTCTCTCTCTCTATATATATATATATATATATATATATATATATATATATATATATATATATATATATATATATATATATATATCTCGATTTCTACTGTGCTGCATTGAGTTCTACCGAGAAGAGTCGCTACCTTGAGATCGATAGAACTACTTAATACTTCTTAGATTTGTGGTTTGTGCAATTTGTTTTAGGCCTTTGCAATTTCTTTGAGCAAAATGTGCAATTTGTTTTATGTCTTGAGAATTTCGTGTTAATTAGATAGATGAAAATGTTAATGGTATGTTTGAGTTTCTTCCGCATGAAACTTAATGTAAATTCCACGTTGTTTGACACTGCCTGTGCTCTGCTCGTGCCACTCTGCCACTAGGGTCTTTACTCTTTCTCTACCCTCACTCTGTTTCAAAGAACCGCTACTATGGGGAAGTACTACCCAATTGTGAGCGAGGAGTACAAGAAGGCTGTTGAGAAATGCAAGAAGAAGCTAAGAGGCTTCATCACTGAAAAGAACTGTACTCCTCTAATGCTCCGTCTCGCGTGGCACTCTGCTAGTACTTTTGATGTTGGGTCTAAGACCAGAGGTCCATTTGGAACGATGAGGCACAAGGTTGAACTGGCTCATGGAGCCAACAAATGGTCACTCTCTTGTTTAATGTGATTCTTCCAGATGATGGGCTTCTTGACTTAATATTTTAGTTTGTAAGAATGCGTAGTTCTGTTCCTGTTTGTTGTTTTTTGAATCTTTATCAATCTTGAGCTCAAATCTTTGCTTTAACAACTCAATCCAAGTAGCATATAATTTATTAAGTATTGAACTAGTAGATTTCGAGATGATACTTTTTTTGATGTGTGTGCGCTTACGGATTTTCTTGGAGTTTTTTAGGTTTATTTGGCATAAGAAATTGAATTATTTGTCTGACATAAGTTTATTGGGGATTTTAGAGATACAAAGGCTGGTTTGAAAAGCTAAGTTTCAACAACAAATTTGATGTTACTATGCCAAGAAGCTTGTAATAATCTGAATGCTTCCTACGAAAATGTGTTATTGGTTTATTTTTATTTAGACTGAGCTTTGGGTGTGGTTTGATAAAGTTTGTTGGGTGGCAATGCTGCATTTTTTTCTTTGTTTTCTCTTGGTTTTGTCTTACTTTTTTGCCTCTTGCTAATAAATTATGTGTTTGAACTCTCTTTGGCTAATGCACTAGCGAGTTTGAACTCCCTATTTTGCCTCTTTCTAATAAAATCTTGAGATCACGTAAACACCTGATATCTTCTAGGTCAGCTGATACGTATTATTGCTGGGCTGGTGAAGGCTTTGATCTCACTCACCTGAGTGGTGCAAATGACCGAAGCTCTTTCAGTGCAGGGCAGTATGTTTTTGAAAATTTTGATTTATAATTTGTTAATGTATTTTTTTCTATTTTGTAACAGATGAATTCTAGATTTCTGCATCAAAGTGGCTCACGAATTAACTTTGTTATGTATTTAAATATTTTGGGAAACTTGTATGTAGATTAAATTGTTAGATATTTTGATGACTTGTATAACTTTTATTAAGCATATTCTATTTTGTGTTTTTGTTCGTATGATATTTTTTGTTAGTTTATGTTTGTTGTTGAATGAAAAACATGTGAAATGTATTAATTGTGTTAGTTTTTTATTGAACAAAAGTATTAGTGGTGTACAAGTGAATATTTTTATTGGAATACTGTTTTTAATGAAGAGCTATTTTAAAAAAAATTAACTTTTTTTGCGATGAAATTAAAATTGTCGCGAAATATTGTATGACCCTTTTTTCTGGGACATTTCTTAAGAGTCACAAATTTTTTGCGAGGTTTATTTTTACGTTGCAAATATGTTTTCTTTTTTTTTTTATTTATGTAAAAATTTATTTGCGATGATTTTTGTGCATCGTAAAAAATTAAGTAAAGTATTATTTTTTATTTTTTCACAACGGTGGAACAGATTTTAGCTACGCTTTTTTTTAATTTTAGCAATGTTTTTCTTTCGTCTTAAAATTTTTTTTATTTACTAAGAAAATAAAATTGTGTCGTAAAATACTTTTTATAACAAGGTTATTACGACGAATACGCGACGAAAAAAATAGTTGCAAAAAATGCTTTTTGTTATAGTTGATTTTATTATTTTATTGAGAATTTATGTTGACAAAATATTTATATTATATTTGATATATGATATGCATGTTTTATATTTTACATTGTACATAATCTGATGTGTAGAGTTCGGCTTATGCACACAAGACTAGATTATCGAATCCTTGTATAATATAAATATAAGTTCATAATTTTAGATGGAATTTGACACACCATCAGTATGATTATAATACAATTTTTTGGCATAGTCTATCTTGATTATAGGAGACTGTTTGATGTATCAGATTATTGCACTAGTATACTTTGTATATTGAACAGATCCATCTTAAAGCTATTATCTTTTACTGACTGAGTAAGATAATAAATATCTCATGATTATTATGATTGCTTATACTCTTAATCTTGAGATATTTAATTGTCACGTGCATATAATGATTGTCACTTTAATTTATCAAAGAGTGAGATTCATATTGAGTCAACAAGTTCGGTGAATTGGAAGACAATATTATTTGTATGGTAAAAATTAATTATTAAAAGAAACCACGTTCTAATATTTAAATGGGTTGATGATGTCCTTTTAAAAAAACTCACAAGTTTTGTCTATGTCAAATCCTGTAGGTGAATTTAATTATCCTACATGACAAATAAGTTAGATGGTAAGGTCTTAAGGAATAAAAGAAGTCAATTAAATATAATTATCAGTAATTTATTTGATTAATAGACATCTATAATCATAAACATGGAGAGATTATTAAACATACAATAAGAAGGAGCTCAAAACATAATTTTGAGATAAGACTCAGAAGATTAATAATAAATTTTTAGCAGATTGACTTATTATTAATGGACTGTAAGATATTTGTTTTGGATTGAACATAGGAATCCTAAGTCCATTAGAAGACTATATATATATTGAGTTTGGTCTACCCTTGTCACCTAGCATTTGTCAGCTCAAGAGAGAGAGTCTCATTTATGTCCCATTTGTAAGTCCTTGTGTAAGTAGTATAGGGAGTCAAGAGACATATCATGAGAGCATGTATGTTAGGGGGTATGTACAATGGAATCAAACTTAAACATTAATTTACTAAATTGAAATAGAAGAGATTTAACACGAGTAAGATAATTCAAATATAACTGCATGGGTGGCTATTCAGGCCGTCAAATGGCTCTGATACCAAAATAAGAAGGAGTGCAGAATAATAACAGACATGAGAATAATCACAAACTGTAGATATAAGAGTGATAATTTAAAAATTCTTTAAAAATTCTTGTTTATAAGAACAAGATACAAATTACAATAACAGAAATAAGAAAAAATAACAACACTAACACTAGTGGGCTAGTGGATGTAATGGGATAGTAGTGAGAGGCTCTTCATTTGCATCATTATTAAGGCTTCTAACAATATAGGGATAGTGAGCTTTGTGTTTAGTGAAGACTTATGAGAGCTCTTGGATGACAAAGCTTCCTAAAGCCAAATGCTTATGGGAGCTAAAAGCTTGCTTAGAACGTGAAGACTGAAGTCTTTATATAGAGAGGTAAGGATTTTTGAAGGAATCTTTGAAATGATTACTCCGTTGTCTTCTGTAACTGCTTTTACTTTGGGTAAAGTATTTCACTTTAGCCTTTCGATGTGAAAGTGGAAGTGAATTGCTTTAACCAGGGTAAATGCTGACTTTCTGGTGCTGGTGGGTCCTGCTGTTTGTCTGAAGGAATCTACTTTCGATGAAAAACAGATTTGACAATTGGCTGATGGCTGCTTTACTAGGAGAAAGAGTCAGGTGCAAAATGATTCTTTATCGATATATGTAATAGACAGCTTTTCTTTCTTTAATGAAGAAAGTAGTGATTGAAGCTATCACACATATAGATAAGCATCATTATGAGGTAGATATATCTACCAAATCATCATATCATGCATATGGATCCTAACTGTCTTGGAAGGGATCCAATGTAGGGGTGACTGATGCCTGTGAGGATGCAGAGGAACTGTTTTCACTAGCAACTTGTTGAAGAAGCTTCTATGCTAGCTCAACGAGGGCAGTAGACTTCTTCTTGGATTGCTTGCTGGAGTCCTTAGAGGAGGACTTCTTCTGCTTGGGCTCTTTTGTAGTGGATTTCTTGAGCTCTTCTGGAGTAGAAATCCTAAAAGAAAGCATGACCTGCTTAACTGGAGTTGCAGGGGTTAAGGTTGCTGAAACCGCTATTGGGGTTGGAACCTTGACTGGGAACTCCTGTCTGACACAGTCAACTATTGGTTCTTGCTGGAACCTAGGCCACCATTTGACATAGAATTGTCTGGCGACATTTTATAACCAATAATTTTTCATTTCCATTTACATATCCATGAGACTTTGTACCTGCAAATAAATGTTAGATAAATAGAAAACTGACTCTCATGTTTATTAGGTTTAAAAACAGAAGAGAAGGCTATAATTTAATCTAGAAGTTCAGCTGAAAATATTTTATGAATGGGGCCATGAATAAACCACCACTATGTGAACCAAGAAGAAATCTGGCTCTTGAAATCTTTATAGAACTGTAAGAACCAGGAATGATCGAAAGTATCATTCTGGTAGAGGATAATCTTATATCATGACTCTTTATAATCATAGTAATTAAATTTTCTCTTATAATAAGGTAAATCCCAGAGTGAAGAAGGATGGAATCCCCAATCTTTGAGAGATATAATTTTTAAAATATTTAAAGAATGATAAATAATTTTACTCGAATTATTTTTATCAGGTATGAGCTTGACAAAAATAGACTGAGTATAGAATAGTATATCCTGATAAAACTAAAAGGTCTTTTAAGGATCAGATGGAATAAAAGGTCCATTCGGGCTCAAGGTAAGCCTTGACTAAGTCCATTGGATTGCTTAAATGAGCATGAATTGGTTCAATAGCAAATACATTTTGAGTATAAGCTTTGATGTAGTCAACCATTGGGTCTTTAGGGACAAAATATGGTTGGTGTTGAGAATATGAGTTTACAAGTTGGCTAGAAGTGTCAGGCTGGACTGGTACAACAAGTCTTGGGGCCTGTTGGGCCATTTAGAGGAAAGTGCTAGGTGGTACTGTGGTAGATTTGGCTATTGGCTGTGTTGGATTAGAATTACCAAGATAAAGGTTTTGGGTTTTGCAAGACTAGTGGGCTTGGCAAGACTAACTATTTATCCAAGTTTGCCTTTTTTTGGGCAAATATCTGACTAAGTTTAATTTTTCCTGTATCCCTCCCGACTTTGGAAGAGGTACCAGGGTTATTGTTTTTCCTATCTGCCATGAGATTCCTGCAGAAATTCACGGGTTAAGAAATCAGGAATGTAGTTATTACTGTTTTTAATATATTCAATATCAAAATCGAAAATACTTAAAATAGATTGTTATCTGGCAAAAATTTGCTTACTAGCAATGTTTTGTACATATTTTTCTAAAACATATTTTACTGATTTGCAGTCTACTCTTACTAAAAAATTTTGATTTAGTATATCATTCTGGAATTTTGAGATACACGGGACAATAGCTAAAATTTCTTTTTTAATTGTACTATAATTTGCTTGTGTTTTATTCCAGATACCAGAGTGGAAATGAACAATTTGCTCTGGGGAGTCTGGAGTAAGTTTTTGAAGTAAGATACCATCGTAGCCAATGTCGGAGGCATCAGTTTGGATGATTTTAAAGGAATCAACCGAAGGAATACCAAGGCAAGACAAAATTTTAATTAACTACTTGACTTGTTGAACTATGGAGGTATGAACAGATGTCCAAGGAGGAGGATTTCCTTTGAGTCTGTCATACAGAGGTTTGATGACTTTTCTAAGATCTTGTTAGAAGTCAAAAATATAATTTAGGGAACCTAAAAACCTTTGAAGCTGGGTTTTATCAGTGATCTCATTAGGGAACTTATTTGCAAATTAGATAGACCGGTTGATGGGAACAATAGTGGATTGCTGGATGTTGTATCCTAAGAATCTTACTGAGGTTTGGAACAACTTGATTTTACTAGCTGAGATGACAAGACCATTGTGTTTGACAATCTCAAGGAATGCATAGAGGTGTTTCCAGTGTTCTTCCATAGATTGGAGAAAATGAGTATATCATCTATATAGACTATAGAAAAATGACTAATGGAGTTAAAAATTTCATTCATTATATTTTGAAATTCACTAGGT